AAAACTCTCATCCTCATCAGCATTCTCCAAAGAATCCTTACTCGGGCTACGAAAGGAAGATGACAATTCTGGAAAAGAATCACAAGAGTTTACCACATTAACAGTAACGGAACAAACAGGAGCTATGTACAATTTCAACAAATTACTGTGACCTACTTGTACTTCTTTCTCCGATCAGGAGTATTCAACAGATAGTTATTATCGGAAAGACGTTTAACTATCTTGTAAGGGCTTGTAAATTTAGCCTGAAATGGATTTGCAGGTAGAGACAATAAAGCCAATACTTGTTCACCCACCTGAAATTCTCTTAATTTAGCTTTTCTGTCAAAGCATTGTTGCATTTTTATTTGAGACTTACTCAATTTCTTTTTATCAAGAGCTTGTGCCTCATATAATCTGTGCCGGAATCCACTCACATAATCTGAAGTATTTTCAGAAGGTTTAGACGTTCGCCACTCCTCAGCTAACACAGTTGTAGGTCCTCTCACTACATGTCCTCTCACTAATTCATTTGGGCTAAACCCAAGACTTTCTTGGATTACCTCATGGATCGCTAACAACATCCACGGCAGACCTTCTTCCCAATCAGCATCAAGTTCTTCCCAATCAGCATCAGCAGCCCCCCCCCCAAACACCCCCCTGCCCCCAGAAGAAGAAAAAAACAACAACCCAACAATAAAATCACATAGTGTTCATTTGAAAGACACAGTTAATAGAATCCAGTTATTTTGCTAGATTAATCTAACTTTCAAGGGAGGAACCATTAGCACATTTGGTTACTGCCTTGAATTATATGCATGGCACACTTTTAGTTATGACTTGTTAAACTATACTTTGTCACGAAATGGAGTTTTTAAAAGTGAAAGGGTCAGAGAGATACTTATGTAGTAACACAATACTTAGGCTATCTCTTAAATAATTTCGAACAGCTCTAATTTTAACAACTATCCAAACTGTTATAGACCTAAAATAGCTTTTGTAGCCCTATGTCACTCTTAAAATGTCAGAGAAAAGGACAGAATCAGAGAT